AGGGGAGTGCGGGGCTGAATTCAAAACCCGGGACAGGTCTTACATTTCATATCAAAACCTGTCCCGGGTTTTGAATTTTCCTTTTCAGAAAAGAGTAGAGGACTGGGGCCGAGTTTCAAAAATCTGTCCACTTAAAAATAAACTTTATCAGAAAAAGAATAACATTATAATTTGTAAGTCCATCAAGTTTCACATGCTTTGTTTAAAGGAGAACTGAATTGCAAACTTGAAAAATTTTGAAATTAACAGAGTCGATGGTTGGTAGGGACGGTTGTCCCTACTTTTGTTCGCAAATATAAACATTTTCAAATTTCTAAAGTTCAGCTCTCCTTTATAAAAAGCATGTCAAAGTCGATAAACTCACTAATTTTGCTGTTATTCTTCTTCTGATCAAGTATACCTTTGAGTGGACCACTTTTTGTAACTCGTTACCAGTCCTCTACTCGTTTCTAAAAAGGCAAATTGAATAAAACAAAACGAAAACAAGGAGTTATTCAATTCTCGATTCGTCATATTTAGCAAAGTTTTCGATATAAGAGCTTGGGAGGATGCTTCGTTGCCAATTCTTATATTTCGCTCGTTACACCAGTCTTCGAACATCTTTATGGCCCATGCGTCTTTATATAAAGTCGATTTTGGAATGGACTGCTTATCGAGCTGAGACCTCGCTTGCTTTCATAGGCTCTCCAAACCTAAACTCTCAATTCGTTCTTTTTCCTCGTCATTTGGTTGAATTTGGTTAAGAGCATCACCTCCAAGCAGGTCATGCAGATTATCCACCGTGAAGTTTGATAAAGTTTGACTCGATCGCGAAGAACATTGTGGCGTGATAAACATTTCCCAATCTTCATCTTCAGATTCAGCCATCTTTGCTCAAACTCCGGCTTACATGAAGAAACTGAATTCATAATCAATCTATTAAGGTTTTTAACCATTCCCAAGAGTAAATAAAAAATGAATGAATGCATAACAAAAAAAGACTTCATTGAAAGACATATATGTTAATAAACAATCGATAATTTGAAAATCATATTGAAACAATAGAATTGGGGCGTGCATACTGTTTTTTAAACCGACTCAAAGCTGCGTGCTCTCAATAGTATTGAAATAATTCTATTTGACAGTCTCTTTAATGAGATGTTGTTTATCAGAGACCTATAGCTATCCTTAAACACACAATCGGACTCTAATCGTTCAAGAATGCTTCGAACAATACGCTATGTATTCCCAATAGTGTTGTAACATGTTTACTACAAGCTAAATCCAACAAGTTATACGTTTAAAATGGCGTCTGAAAAGGCCGAAACGTCGAGAAAATAGGTATGACAAACCGTACTCGGTGCACCAAAATTGTCATAATTTTGCTGGTATTTTTGTTTATAAGCATGACAAATAGCGAATGCCTATTAAAGATTTTAAATTATTTCCTGGAGTGAATAACAAATTTAATGTATCAAAAAAGGACTATCCATTAAAAAAACAAGCTTTGGTGAAACAATCAATTAATTCAAAATGTCTTCCATTAAAACAATAGAATTGGGGCGTGACTGGTTTCTAAACTGGTTCAAACACACGGGCTCGGGTTTTCATTGAA